GAAGGCAGTTGCGCTCGGTGAGCACATTTCCAGGATGGATGATCACCACCTTTCTATGATTGTGTTATGTGGTGAACTTGCCCTAGGCTTCCGCAAAAGAAGAGTCCCAAAGAGGAGCAAGGAGAAGCACAAGATGCCCTGAAGCAATACCTCAGCCATGGCCATATAGGCTACCATCAATGTCCACTCTGACCTCAAGTTGGGAGACAATCATTCATATCGCCTCTGCTTCCTTTGAGAATACAAAAAGAATCAGCTTTGAGGACAAAAGATAAGCAAAAAGAATTGTATTTAGCCAATACCGTCTAAAAAGACTTTCCGTTGTGCCTTTTGCAATCGGACTTGCTAATCTAGCATCGGTCTTTTTAGTCATCGGCACGTTTGCAACAAGAATGAATAGAGTCCTTCACATATCTCCGTTCGCGAAGCCTGACCAAGATGACGATACTGTTTGTCATACACTACCATTTTTACCTTGCAGACCCTCCGTTTTAGAACTGAAATTTAAGTTTTTAGAAAAAAATGCTATTATATGGTTGCAGCTTGTCCGAGAAGACAAAAAACTTGGTTATGATCCTACAGCAATAGAATTTTTTAACTACAGCCAGTTCCTAATAATGTGCGGCTCCAATCGTCAGGTCACTCTTTACAGTCGTGAAGGTTTGTACAAAGTTATGTGCATTATTACCAAAAATTAATGACTATAATGTTTGACGTTGAGAAATGGTACCATAAATATTTATTTTGATTTTCGGAACAGTGCCATTTTTTTATCGTATATAAAAACATTAACTGTTATAGGAACAACGCTGGGTACAGTTGCACAAATGGATGCATGGGTATGGACGGTGAAAGCTAGACCGAATACAAACGCAATTGTTGGTCAGTCTCAACCATTTTGAAATTTCCATATAATAGCAGAATTTCGATTATATTATATAAGTGGTCATTTACAGTTGGTTGCGTGGATGGTACATTGGCATGCTACCAGTTAATGTTTAGCACAGTTCACGGATTGCATAAAGTGAGTTACTCATGATATTCAAACATTCTGTGTTTTTTCGATTAGAAATTCTTGCATTTATGCCACATTATTGCTGTGTGGATCCATTGATAATTATTCAGAGAATTATATATTTTAGGAGCGATATGCTTATCGCGAAAATATGACCGAAGTAGTCGTGCAACAACTTGCAAATCAAACATCCATCAAAATTTACTGTAACGACTTAGTTCGCAAAGTCGCTGTTTACTATAATCGTTTAGCAGTGGGCTTTATTTTTTTATTTATTTGTTTTTCTTTTTTTTCGTTAAAGGTACTAGAAATATAATCAGTTTTTGCCTATAAAGTATTAGATTTTAGCTTTATTCATAACTGGAGGTAAAAGATTCAAACATGCTGTTTGATAAAGTAGTTTTTTTGGACCTGCATTTTAACGAACACGTACTGATGAGTGTTTGTTTTAGGTGCAGCTCACCGGACGTGTTGAAATATATCGTCTTATGATAGAGCGCGATGGTGGACAACTGGAATATAGACTGGTTGAGCAAATAAACCGTGCTTTCGAATGTTCATTGCTTGTATGCACCGTAAAATCTTTTTCTGATGCAACACCGCAAAGCCCGAGCGATAAAATTTTTCAACCAAATATAGCTGATTACTTGTATTTTATACCAGTTTGCAAAGATTTTCTTACGCAGGTGATCTGCGCGCATCATCTGATACTCTGTCAAGAACGACGCTTGCAGTGCTACGACCATAAAGGACTTAAACAACGGGAATGGCTTCTTGAATCTCTGATACGTTATATAAAAGTCGTTGGAGGACCACCGGGACGAGAAGCCATATTAATTGGTTTGCGAAATGGAGCTGTAAGTTCACTTAGAACAGAAACACCTTAGTTAATTTTATCAGAGAAATTACGAAAATTTGTCATGTTTGTTTAAATCGTTTAAAAAATCCTTTTACCCGATAAAAGATGAATGGTTTAGGTATGTAAGATTTTTGTGGATAATCCGTTCATAACAGAAATACTGCGTTTAAAAAGTGCTATCAGGTGCCTTGATATCAGCCATTTGAGGTATGTATCTTCTCAGCTATAATAATGCTCTTCAATGCTGCTTAGTTATTTGATGGCTTTCCATAATCTTTTGTACTTTTTTTTTTTTGAAAAGTCATTGTTTAACGAAGAAAACTCGAAATGATGTAGCTAATTGTGGGTTTCAGGAGAAAGCTTGCAATCGTCGACGAAACCGGAGTTTGCACTACTTTTGATGTTAAAACTAAACAGCTTCTATTCCAAGTTTGGCATAATAATTTTTGTAGCAGTTGGATTTTGTGATTCGTAGTATGAGAAACTGATGACTTTTTATAGGAGCCATCATGTAACAGTGTTGTCTGGAACGCTGATCAAGAGAATCTTTTGTGTTACTCTGGTAGTGGCGCACTATGTATTAAAGCTGATAATTTCTCTCCGCATCAACAGAGAATGCAAGTATGACCTCAAAAAAATTTTTTAATTTTTGTGTTGCACCTTTAATATCGAAGAATTCGTTTAATCTTTTTTTTTTTATCTTTTATTCGTGGATAATATTTAATTAAGAATAATGAATTTTTTAGGGTTTTGTGGTTGGATTTTCAGGAAAGCGTGTCTTCTGCTTACATATGTTTGCCATGATTGCAGTGGAAGTGCCTTTGTCCAATCAGTTGTACCAATACCTTGAACAGAAAATGTACAAGTATGAGTTTCTTCTGAATGCTTGTACTTACTTATCAAAAACTTTGAAGTAGTTCCGTTAAATTTAAAAACATGTAATAGTGGTTGACTGATATGTTTTTTTCACCTTTGTAGAGAAGCGTACGATTTGGCATCATTGGGTGTAACAGAAGGTGACTGGGAAGTTCTTGGTCATGATGCTTTGCATAACTTCCAACTCGATATTGCCCAAAAAGCTTTCCATAGGATTAAAGATGCACGTTACCTTCAATTGATCTCGGAGATCAAGGTATGGGAATTAGAATTTCTGACGTGTACATTTATTCCGACATACAAAGTTATGTCTTATATTTTGATCTGTCAAATAATTGCCTTGATTTAGGACATGATAAAAAAGGATGCGAAAAAGGAGCTGATGCTGGGATTTATAAAAGCTTATGAAGGCAGATATCGCGAAGCAGCGATATTGTTCCGGAAAACCGGATGTGAACAAAAAACGCTGGAAATGTTTACAGACTTGCGTATGTTTGATCAAGCCCAGGTTAGAACATTAATCGATGTCAAGCTTGCATAGTCTGATTTCGAGCTTCATTTTCCAAAAGGTTTTGGTGAATGTAGGAAAGATGTAATCTTGACTTTTCAATATATTTATATCATTTACTGAATTTCATTATCTGTCTAATCAGTCATTTCGTGTAACTATCATTTCTTGGTGCATATATATTTTCCTGGCACTGAGGCATAATGTTCAGGAACTATTATCCTCCGCCTCCGGAGAAACTCAAAAAACTCTGCTGCGAAGGCGTGCTGATTGGGCACAGAATTCAAATGAGCCCATGATTGCAGTCGAAATGTTTGTGGCTTCAGGCGATTACGATAAAGCAGTTAATCTTATGATCAAAAACAACTGGATTGACATGTAAGTCTTTCATCTTTGCATTTGGTATTGGGAAGTGAGCGTTTGCATAATCAAATCGTTTTCTTCTTTCCCTTCCCTCATCTATATAATTTTTGTTCGGAATAAAGCAAGTACTTCTTAGGTTGATCAATCTTGCACATCGTATTGACCGGAGCAATGTTGATGTATTGCGCACGATTGGAAATTACTTGGCAAAAAAAGAAGAATACACCCTTGCCTCCCAATTATTCCAATCAATCAATGATATTCATGCCTTAGTAAACATGTACGTCGGTGCGGCTATATGGAATGATGTAAGTTTTTGTTTGCAATACAAATTTTTTAACTGTAATACCTTTTACCCTTCGAGTTAGTTCTTTTAATTTTATATCTTAAAAAATACGATTCCAAGTAACAAATGCATTTTCAGGCATTTCTAATAGCAGCAAAGTACCAGAAATATAATGAAGAAGTTTACCTGCCTTATGCACGTTGGTTAGCAGAAAACAATCATTTTGATGAGGCTCAAAAAGGTCTGTATTTGAAAACCTTATAATTCTATTAATATTGTTGTTTCTTCCATCTGCTCAAAAAATAATGGTAAATGTATGTTTTGTAGCCTACCATATGGCTGGGCATGATATGGAAGCATTACAAGTTTTGGAGCAGCTAATAGAAAATGCGGTTAGGGAGAATCGTTTTGTTGATGCTGGCTATTATAATTGGATGCTAAGCATGCAATATTTGGAACGATACAGTGGAGATCCTGAATTAATTGAAAAATTTCTGGATTTTAGTAATAAAGCGAATTGCTACTATGCTTTCGATGTCATTCATAAATATCTGGTAATGATTACTAAGATAAATTAATAATTATAAACTTAGTTTGGGCTATTGCTATTGTTTATTCTTTATATATAAAAATGTATTTGTTTAGTTCTTCCAGGAATAAGCATTCTTTTTAATTATTTTAAGAACGAAAAGAACATCCTGAAAATTGAGTTAAGAATTCCATCTTGACATTTCGTACTGACAATGTGATTTTCAGACTTCAGTCTCTTAATGGACTGAATTAAAAAATTGTTCTTTGTTTCCCTTATTCTTTGTTCCTCCTTTGTTTCTCCTTATTAGAATCTTAATGCACCATGTAATTTTTCCTTTGCTATTTATGCTCATGAAGAAAGCTTTTATAGGCTGAACCATTTACGAGCTGCCCAGCCGATGCTCTAATTAATATTGCTCGTTATTTGGCTTTTCAAAAGGAAATTTACAAGATATCACGAGTGTAACTTTTTTTGCAAATTACTTTTAAGGATAAAATTGGTAGGAATATTTTGTTTCTACCACAATCTTAAGCGTAGTGTGCGATCAGGTAGTGTCAAGTTTTTCATGTTTTAATAGTAAAGCTTCCCCATGTGTGTGTGTGTCTGTCTGTGTGTGTGTGTGT